GTCTCATATTATTTGTTATATTTTTATTATTCATTATTTTCACTTGACCCGCATAAATAATTTTGTGCGAACAACATTTATATGCAGTTGTACTTCGCAGCACTTCACTTGCAATTTGCAATTTCTAGTAGTAATATATTAATGCTTGCGGTACACCATGTAGATAGTTATTGGTTGAGAATGTCTATATATGTAGTTATAATAAATTTGTAATTTCTTTATAAGATCACGGTCTCGAAGTAGAAGATCTCGCTCCCGAGACAGACGTCGCAGATCAAAATCTCGTGAAAAAAGCAGACGTTCACGTGAACGCCACAGAAGATCACGATCACGTTCAAGGGATAGACGTAGACGGTCGCGTTCCAGAGAAAGAGCTAGTCGCAGACGTTCCCGTTCCAGAAGTTACGAAAGAAGATCACGTTCGCGTGACAAACGCTCTTGTGACCGCAGATCTCGAGAAAAAAGTAGTAGAAGGTCAAACGATAGGGAAGACAGAAATGGAGACAGAAGAAGTGTCAGTGTGGATTGATAGCAGCAATAAGTGATTTTATGCTATCTATTCTGTAGTCCTGTTTTTTACAAAAAAAAAAATATTCTTTGCAAAGATTAAAGTATTGTGTACATAGTAGGATTGATGGCATTTTAATGTTATAGGCATGAAGGCAACATTATTGTTAATCCTAATGTTTCACAGGGATGATGGCAACATATTGTTAACCTTTAATGTTTCTTAGGGATAAGGCAACATTGTTGTTAATGCTTCAGTGGGATAATGACAACATTATTATTAACCTTAATGTTTCATGGGGATAATGGCATATTGTTTAACTTTAATGTCTCAAAGGCATGTTGGACATTATTGTTAGCCTTAATGTTTCATGGGGATGATGGCAACATTGTTGTTAACCTTAATGCCTTATAGGAATGATGGCAAGTTTAATTTTGTGTATGTAAAATTTCCCTAGGAATGTTGGCAACATCGTTATTGTTAATTTTTTATAGGAATGATTGCAATGTCTCATTTATACTTTTTAAGAAATATAGTAACATCAGTTTTGTTAATTTAATATTTCTTCAATCTTCACATTAGTTTATGCTTTTCATGCAATCAAAACACTTTCGATTAATACTGTTAATGCTTCTTAGGACTGCATGCAACATTGATGTTGTTCCCTTAATGTTTTGTAGGATTGAAGATAAGTTAAAGTGCCCTTTAATATTTGTAAGAACTGATATCAACCTTAAATAATGTGTAATTTTAATGCCTATGATTGTACTAAAGTAATATTAGATAATGTTTAGATATTGCAATTCTGACAAACTTTTTCAAGTTGGTTGCTTTATGTAAATCAATTCAACAGCTATATCAAGTAAATATTGTAGTATTATGGCAGCAATTTTTTATTTAGCATGCTAACTACAGCATAGTATGTCTGGTATGAATTACATTTTAGTTTGTATACAGTAATGCATTCTCTTTTGATTTATTAAATCCTAATATTAGAGTATATAATCAATAACAATGTTGTATATAATTGTTTGTGCAGATGATTTTTTCAATTCCCAAATACTGTAACTTAAAATGATCATCAGCATTGGCGGTGTGGTAATACTGTGCATTTGAACGTCATTGTAATGTGATAAACATCTCAGTGGTGTGGTAATAATGTGCATGCATTTGAATGTCATTGTAATGTGATAAACATCTTGGCGGTGTGGCAGTACTGTGCACGCATGTGAATGTCATTGTAATGTGATAAACATCTTGGCAGTGTGTTATACTGTGCACGCATTTGAATGTCTGTGGCAGGTCTTGTAATTGAGTCAGCGTGTATATACAGTATATTTCATGATACTTTTATGATGACTTTGTGATGATAGTTTGAAGATTTTCTTTGATATTAAACATACAATTATTACTGTAGAATGTTGTGTTTTCATGTAGAACTGTTGTGGTAAAATGGAGTTAACTAGTCTCATATTAGAAAATAATTCGAAAAGGTTATACAATAATTTTACATAATCACCAAATGGCTCATTTGCCCTTCAGCAGTTATTTTTTCTTGATGCTTGGTGACCATAAGACTTTCTGCCCAGCAGAATAAGGTAATGAATTTAGTTTTATCATTAATTTTTTTGGATGGATGTAATCAACTTAACGTTCTTATTTGCTCTGTATGCAGATTGTCGATTATCGAGTATGTTGTTACTCTGTAAAAACGAAGAAGTCCTGGAAAGTAGGACACATTCACAATCACAAATCAATTTATTCAATCCTACATAAAATCATAATAACGTTTCAAAAAAGTATACAAGAAAATTGAAACTGTAGGATCTGGTAGACTCTCATTAAGACCAGAGGTCACAAGCATTAGAGCCACCCCGAAAAATTAAATAATTAATGAAGGTTTGAAAAGAAAACAGAAGAATTGTAAACATTTTCCTTCTTAAAATAAAATATGAAATCCAGTTTTATTTTCATTTTGAGGAAACCGATAGATAGTTCTCAAGAGCATCCCGACTGGCTTCTGTAACTGAGGACGCACAACTGCAGATTTAAATGATGACGGAAATATTCCTGGTCGATGATTATTGAGTTACACGCGGAGTGAGCATGTACATACAGCTACCATATATGCAAGTATTATTATAATCACAACATTAGAGCCTTCGTTCAATCTGTTACCGGTATTAACATCCGGTTTGTTTTATAATTGTCGTGAACTGAATAAAATTTCGAAGTAAACATAAAAGAAGATGATTTATTAATGTTAAGCAACTTTTTTATTTTGTCAAGCATGTTTATTTTGTTTTGTATATATTGTTTCTTATAGGCATGAATAAAAGGAACAATTAAAAAAAATATGGCGTATGTCTTCTTGCATGACCCATTTGTTGTACTGTACCTATTGTAAATGTGTTACGATTGGTCGAGTAAATATATGAAATGAATGAATGCATTGAAATGACAGATGGATGAATCCTTCACGTTAAGCGTGATCTATCGTAAATTGCATTGATTAAAATACAAGTTCATACAGCGACTGAATCGTGATGCCTACACCCACAGAGTAGCAGATCGTTCATGCTCACACAGACTTGGAAATAGCGCAAACAACTATTACAGTAAATAGTATTTTGTATTTTTAGACTTGACAGTAAATGTATCAAACTTCAGAATCTACTATCAACCACTTGTCTTATTCTTGCATTAATAATACAAAGCCCATACAAAGGCTGGATCTCGAGTTCGTAAAAGTGAAATGGTAAGTCCTGTGTCGATCTACCTAAAGTCAACTGATTCCTGATGATGACATAATTAATGACAAAATATTGAATCCCGACACGATGGCGTGCATTTCGATACTTGGAGTATGTGTTATCTGAGCTATCTTATCTGAGATAGTAATCAGTGGATCTTTCAAAATCAAACACTGCATTACTCACTATGCTGCAGTTACTCTCAATGCTCTCGAGCGATGCACAGAACAGCTAATCACTGAGGCTGACGCAGACTTGGAAACAGCGCATGCGCAAAATACGTTCTATAAGGATGATTATGAATAATCTTGGAATAATTTATGAGATTTTACCAAACTATCCTATGTTACGCAAATTCACGTACTATCCTATATTGGAAATGCCAAGCGACCTCAAGTTGACTTATTTTGGACGTAGGGCCTACTTGCCTATATTGGAAAGGCCTGGTGCCCTCAACTTGACGTATTTTGGACAAATTCCTGCGTATTTTGGACTGTTGTTCACCAACCCTAATGGCAAAATCATCATCTTAATTTTATTTACAGAATTTTATGATTTTTGTGTTCGCGTGCATATTTATCTTACTGACGCAGTTTAGCCATAGAAACCTTTCATATCCTACAGAGTTTTAATATTACCGTTGTGCTTTTGTTGTAATTTAGGTAGACTTGTATTCGCTTTTATAGTTACTTTATGCATTAACTTTTAATCAATTCGTTTTTAACGTGTCTACTGAGGAAAATAATATTTTTTTTTAAATTTAATTGAATTTATTTAATGTCATATACAAGCAAAGTACATGAAATTTGCTTTTTAGAGCGAGGAATACACACACAGATAAAATTACAAGACAACTATAAATAGAAAACTACAAAGTGCAAAAATATACAATAAATACATTACAGTCGAAGTGTGAAAGAGTAATAAAATAAAAGATGTGACTATCTGGTGAATACTTTGTTAAATAAATACGTTCTATAAGGATGATTATGAATAATCTTGGAATAATTTATGAGATTTTACCAAACTATCCTATGTTACGCAAATTCACGTACTATCCTATATTGGAAATGCCAAGCGACCTCAAGTTGACTTATTTTGGACGTACTTGCCTATATTGGAAAGGCCTGGTGCCCTCAACTTGACGTATTTTGGACAAATTCCTGTGTATTTTGGACTGTTGTTCACCAACCCTAATGGCAAAATCATCATCTTAATTTTATTTACAGAATTTTATGATTTTTGTGTTCGCGTGCATATTTATCTTACTGACGCAGTTTAGCCATAGAAACCTTTCATATCCTACAGAGTTTTAATATTACCGTTGTGCTTTTGTTGTAATTTAGGTAGACTTGTATTCGCTTTTATAGTTACTTTATGCATTAACTTTTAATCAATTCGTTTTTAACGTGTCTACTGAGGAAAATAATATATTTTTTTTTAATTTAATTGAATTTATTTATTGTCATATACAAGCAAAGTACATGAAATTTGCTTTTTAGAGCGAGGAATACACACACAGATAAAATTACAACTATAAATAGAAAACTACAAAGTGCAAAAATATACAATAAATACATTACAGTCTAAGTGTGAAAGAGTAATAAAATAAAAGATGTGACTATCTGGTGAATACTTTGTTAAATAGATGACAGGCATAATGCAAGGATGAGCTTTTACATATGTTTGTTTTCACACAAGGTTTGCAAATCCTACCTGATCTTTAAAAATTATATACTCATTTAGTGGATGAGTATTGTCAGTGATAATTAAATATAATTTTTTGAGCACAGATCGTCACACAGATCATTTATACTTTCGACATCCTTGCCAATGATCTTCACACTTGGCAACCAGGCAAAATTTGTAAAGCTTCTTAAGGAAGAAAAGTCGTTGACTGGCTTTTGAGTACACAGATTGAGTATGTACACTCCAATTAAGATTATCATCAATGATAATACCTGGAGATATTTATATAGACTACTGTAAATGAATAATGATATGTAGATGCCCTCTATGTATAGTGCAATGACGTAATGGAACGAGACAGGACGTGTGAATCTGATTCTCTGAAAATCCGACTAAAATTACGCCAACAAATTTATGTGGTACAAAATCAATCCAAATTACAAGTACCTATAGGTATCTACACAACTTGTAAATATTTGAGTGAATTTGTGAAATAGGTATACCCACAACATTCAGGTGTATAAAATATTTAAAGGGATCGATAGAATTTCAAGTAATACTTTTTTGAGCTTGTTAAAGAATCAAAAACTAGAGGTCATAAATTAAAAGTTATTATACCACGTTCAAAACTAAGAGTGCACCAGAAATGTTTTTCACATGCTGTATGCAGTACTTGGAATAATTTACCAAGCTATGTCATAGAGGCAGACACGTTCAATCAATTTAAATCTCGTTTGGAAAAATGTTGGTGCCGTCATCCGCTGAAGTTGTCCCCATATGAATGTATTGAAGGAGGTTATACTCAGAGGGACACATAAGCTTCGGCTTCAGAAGTCTCGGTATCAAGGTAGGTAGGTAGGTAGAACATTCAATTTTACGAGCTCTACGCCAGGCCCAATAATTCAAGATCTTGCGATTTGAACTGACGGTCATTGACCTATCGCAAACGGTCATTGACCTATCGCAAGAAAGGTTGGACCGTACGTAACCTTAACCATAGTGCCAGGCGTTTCGCATACCAAGTATCCTGATCTTATATTGCGTATAGTATTGGATTTACGTTTATCGTTATTACTGTGCAACAAACTGTAAGTTTGTCTTATTTAACTTTGTAGATGGATTGTGTATTTTTACACCTGAACCCTTTGGCGCGGAAAATCTAATCACGTGACCATAATATTTACGTTTTCACAAAACAAACACGGTCACTGGATAACAACACTTACGTTTTCCACCTTCCATACACTCACGTGACAATAATATTTACTTTTTAATCCATCAAGGATAAAACACACCGGCTGTTAATAATTGTTATACTACTCACAAACGAAGGCAGCTGTCTATTCAACCGACAATCAAGTATATCTAAATGTTATGGTAAATTCGCACTGTGCTTACTTAGTTTTATTTTAATTAAGCTATATACTGTAGCCTTTGAGTACTCAGAATGCCAGATAAATCTATGAAGGAAAAAAAAAACATTACGCAGTAGCCAAGGGCAAAAATGCAGGAATTTTTACAAAGTGGTCTGAGTACTTAAGTAACACCCGTTACCCAGGGGCTATATTCGAGTCCTTCGATACTGAGGGTGAAGCACACATTGACCTATTACCAACGGATACTCAACTTGATTGTAGATTGCTACTCGAAAAACCTTACAGTTAAAAGAAAATAAACTATGATCTCAATTTGAAATTAATACGGAATGAAAACGATGGCCTAGTTAGAGAAAATCAAAAGCTTACTGACGAAGTAAAGCAATTAAAAAAAGAACTTAAACGTATTCCAAACCAAAATAAAGACATGAAAACTCAAAACTACAGAAGGATATTAAAAAAAGTAAAGATTGAAGAAGGAAATGAAATATTACAGTAGTGAAATCAAAATCCTGCAACAATCCATTCAGGTTTTATTAGAAAAAGAAAAACATGAAAGAAAAAATGTTCTAACAAATGGTGGATGAATTAAATATGAAGAAATATTTTTGGATTTTTTACAATATTTTAATGAATTTAAACAAATTTGAAATACATTATAATTGAATTTGAAAACACATAGAAAAATATAATTATTTAACGAAAAGTATGGTTAAATTTAAGTATGAAGTTTATACAGTATATATTTTAATAATAAAAAAACAAATATACAATTAGATTTGATTATACTAATTCTAATTTCTTGAGAATGGTGTCTAATATATTAACATTTTTGAAAACCAAAATAGCTTTTAGCCTAGAATGCACCTGGGAAATTATAGTAAATAATATCAAAATCAAGCTTGCTGCGTTGCACCGTAACCACCATATAAACAAATAGATAGGGCCTAAATAATAATAATAATAATAATACCACAGCTCGAATAGGAACATACTGTAATAATCGTATCATCATCATCTTGTGCCATTTTCGATACGAAGTTTGGCCACCAGGGCTCTCCATCTAACACGATTTTCTGCTGCGCCCTTCGCCTCTATGTAAGATATTGTTCAGCAACATCTCTTGATGTTATCACTTATGTGATTCTCTGTCTCCCTCAATTATGCCTTCTACAGGGGCGGATCCAGCCTGCGAGAAAAGGGGGGCGGCGGCGCAGCCTGCGAGCGAAGCGAGCAGTCTTAGGCTGGGGGCCAGAGGGCCGCCTAGGGCCCCCGGCGAGGTCCAGGGGCAGAGCCCCTGGTGGGGGTGCAAGGGGGCTTCGCCCCCTTGAAGCCCAGCACATTTGAGGAATATGAGTTTGCATTAAGTCAATTTTGACTATCTAGCATGGTAGTTTTCAGCAACAAAAAAAAAAAAAAAATTAGGTGCATGTCTTTTAAAAGAAATTTTAATATTCAGGGTAGCCGCAATATGCAACTATAAAATGCGTCATTAAAATAATAATTCATCTACTCACAGCTGTGAAAATTCAAGGTTTTCCCATCTTGAAAACGGTCAGGTAAATTTTTCTCATGTCTTATATTATGTGTGTGTTTTCATACATAAACAAATTGAGTAATTGCATACGATTTTTTTTCCATGAATCAATATATTCCCCAAAAAGAAAGGGGGGTCCGGGAAAATTTTTATTCTTAGAAGGCGGGAAATAAGCTTTCCCGACTTCTGAGGTGTCTTTTAATTACTTTTTATTTCTTCAAAATCCAATTTTTTCCCCTCTTGAAAATGATTTAATGAATCAATGAATTCCGAAGAAAAAGGGT